CTTTAAAACTTCTAAATACCAAACCCCTTTCTGTTATGGGAGAGAAAAAAACTCCCCTTCTTCACTAGTGCAAAGTTTTTTTTTTTTTTTTTACATTGAGCCACATAAAAAAAAAAGTTGACAATTTCTACCCAAAAAAAAGTTGATAATGAGAGAATCCCTCTTACTAGTGAGTGACATTAGGAGGAGGAAGAAATACATGATGTACGACGGAATAGCTTGTATAACTGCTTTGAGATGGACTTCCTTCTCCTGTGGGACATGAGAAGACTCTTCCTAGATTTCCATCCTTTAATTGGAGAATTGATTCTTTCTTTGAACTTCCCCACTCAGTCGGAACAACCATGTATCTTAAGTAGCAGTTAACATAAGTAAGGCTAATATGAGTGATACCTCCTTCTCCTCCTAAGTACATTCACACTGAAAAATACATATGATTTATTAATATAGATTTCCTAACCTATGATAGCTCCATACTCATTAATGATCCCTAAAATTCTCCCAACCACTTGTTGAGTGACTTTCCCAATAGTAACTGTATTATCCATGAACCGACAATCGACGAGGACACAACATCTAAGGTTGAGCTTAATGCTCTTGATGTGATCCTATTGTGTGGATTTCTCAATAAAGTAAGATAAAAACATTTGACATAAGAATGAAAAGGGAGAGAAGGGCCCCCTATCTAATACCACGAGGCGATGAGAAGACTTAGTTGTTTCACCATTGAAGAGGATGAGAAAATCATCATACATATACTAGCTCGAGCGCATTTGCACCACCTATAATCAAATCCATATTATTTCAGAAGGGTTTCTAAGAAATCACAATCCACCAAGTCATAAGCTTTTCTCATATCCAACTTAATCATCATATCCCTCCTTCTACCAAGCTTATGATTTTCGAAATGACGAAAGGCCTCATGAATATAGTCTTGGATGAGACGACTCCCCCCTTGCGAATGCAGTTTGAAGCTCTAAGACAATGTTTGAGGTTTCACTATTTGATTCGGGGACCATAGCAATATGAGTATCATTCCACCCTTCAGGCATGTTCTCTGTTTGGAAATAAATTATGCATCTCTAATCATAGAGTATCTCTTACTTTTGTTCTAGAAATGTACATAAAACCGGGGGAAAACCCATAAGGACCCTACACCTTCTTTGCTCTCAGACTGAAAAAGTGCTTTCCTTATTTCCTTTGTTAACCAGAGCATACAGACCCTCATTAACTATAGGGATAGCAATAATATATGTAACCGTGGATATCCGCCCGAATCCGACCTAATCGGGTAGAGTAAAACCCGAACCCGAAGGGTTTTTAGTGGGTACACGTAAAATCTAAACCCGAATATTCTCGAATAATGGATGGACATGGTTTTCTCACTATCCAACCCTAACCCGCCCGATTATACACATGCATATGTATTTTGTCTAGAAATATCATTATTTTTCTCTAACATATTTATTTTTAGCAATACAAATATAATATTTTCATGAAATTGTGTTGTTTACTTGTTTTTATTAATTTTCTTCATTCTAGTGATTTATTGTAGTACTTTTTCTCTTATGTAATGTGAGTATACGTGTGAATGTTAATATATTAGTTGGAGTTATAAAGAGAAATTATTATCCATGGATAATCGTGGATACCCGAAACTCGAACGGGTATGTCATGGTTTGGATTTTCTACCTGATTCTTATGTGGGTATGTGTATGAGTAAAACCCAAACTACTTTGGATAGGGTAAGGGATATGCACTATCCGCCCCCGACCAGACCCATTGTCATCCCTAATTAACTACTCTAAATACTTTCATAAGCAACTTTTCAAAATTAAAATGATAACATCATATAAATGACTCATCTAAAAATAATTATAAATTACTATTATATATGGCTAATACCCAAATTATATGATACATGTTAGTTGCAAAATGTATTTTGCTTTGTGATTGGCTTTATTAGATTATTAAATAAGAAAATAAAGCATATTACATATAAAGATAAATTGATAACATTACTTATCTAACTTTTTTTAACAAACAACATGTTGAAAAATGTTGGCATTTATTATAAAAAAACCGCATACAAACCAATTGCTAGCCAAACTCTCTCCAATTTGGTTATGGTGCTCACAACCTATGTTTTAGCACCTGTTCACATGGTTAGATTGAAGGCCACATCCCATCAACTGATTTTAAGAGCACAAATTGGTTGTCTTTGGGAAGGGATTGAGTAAGGAAAAAAGAGTGGAGCCAACCATCATTTTATTGGGGGTCTCATATTTAATTGGCGTTTAATGCTACACACAAATTTCTTTAATTTCTTTCCTATTCTTTTTTTTTTTTTTGGATAAGGATGATATAAGTTTTTTTTATTATTATTAAGGTACTACTTAGGTTATTCAAACATGATACCTCCAATATCTAGACTTGTAGTATTACCACTAGGTCAAATCTTTGTTCATTTAATTTCTTTCCTCTCTTTTTTGCTCTCATTTTTTAATACATGTTCGAATACACCTTTAATACTTGTTCGATCTGTTTGAATACTTGTTCGACGCCTTTAATACTGGTTCGGTCTGTTTGAATACTTGTTCGACGCCTTTAATACTTTTTTTGCACTTTTGAATACTCGTTTATCGCTATGAATATATTCATAACGACAAACGAGTATCCAAAAGCGCAAAAAAAGTATTCAAAGGCGTTGAATAGATATTCAAAAGTGTCGAACTAGTATTCTCTGATTCGGGACTAACAAATATTCAACACAAATGAACACGTATTAATATTTAATAGGCATCGAACAAATATTAAAACATCAAAGAAATCTTCAAACTATTAGAACAAGTATTCAAAAATGCAAAAACACAAGAGAGGAAGAAAAAAAAGGTGAGTGAGCATTAGATGCCAATTAAATTGTGGGAGGAGAAAAAGTGTTGAGTTATCTTCTTTACTGAATCGGGTAAATTCCAAGTTTGGTCACTATTTTTTACTAAAATATGTCATGTTTAGTCACTAGAAAAAATAATATCAATAATGTTTACTAAGTTTAGGAAAATATGTCATTTGTGGTAACTCTCCGTCCAACTCCGTTAATGGAGACCGTTAAGTGCTAACGTGGCAAACAAAATTGCCTAATCAGACGAATTTATCCCAATAAAAATAAAACCCGACCCACCTCGTCTTTAACGCCAACCCAACCCATGATCCAACCCTTTATCTTCTTCACTATTTGACCCGATAAGACCCTTCTTATTCCTTCCTCCCACCTCCTGCTTTCCCCAAATCCACCACCGCCGCTACCTCCTCCCGCAAACCTCTCCCGCCTCTCCCCCTCCTCCTCTCTAACCACCCACCCTATTACTTTCATTCTTCCAATATTATACTATCACTCTCCGCCGGCGAATGCCAGTCGAAAGCCAAAAGATGGGGGCGAAGAGAAAGAAGGAGGACACACCTGAAATGACTGAAGATTTCGAGATGGACGACGGTGGCTCTAGGGATAGGAGAAATAAGCAGAAAGTAGAGAAGAAGAGTTTCGGCCATCGATGATAAAAAATAAGGAGAAGAGATCCGCCTGTCATGCCAAACTCAAACACCATAAGAAGCTCGCGAAACGCAATACCAAGAAGGCTCGTGAAGCTGCCAACAAGCAGGCGCTGGAACTCGGCGAGGAGGTTGCAACCAATTTCCATTCCCCTGATCGTACCTAGACTATCTTTCCTTGTAAATTTTTAATTGGAATTAGAGAATTTCCAAGCTTTTTCTCTGGTATTTTGTTCTCTCGCATGTTGTTGATTGTATTTTGTAGAGAAAAGGAGAGGGAGCGGTGGGGAGAGGTTTGCAGGAGGATGAAGCGGCGGTGGTGGATTTGAGGAAAGCAAGAGGTGGGAGGAAGAAAGTTCGGGTTGGGTCAAATAGAGAAGAAGATTAAGGGTTGGGCCATGGGTTGTGTTGGTTTTAATGACGTGGCAGGTCGATTTTTTTTTTGTTGGGTTAAATTCGGCTGATTAGGCGATTCCGTTTACCGCGTCAGCACTGAACGGTCTCCATTAATGGAGTTGGACGGAGACTAACAAATAGTGACTAAAAACATGACACATTTTAGTAAACCTAGTTACCATTATTAATATTAATTTTTTCAGTGACTAAACATGACACATTTTAGTAAACCTAGTGACCAAACTTGAATTTTATCCCTTCTTTTTCCTTACCCAATTTCTCAGTGTTATTAAAGTCGAGCCGAGCCGCTCGGCTCTACCGGTTAAACCGCCACCCGATTACAAAACCGGCTCGAAATAGTCTAAAAGGCGCTCCGGTTTTATGTAGCGGTTGACGAGCGGCCGAGGCGGTTAACCGCTTGAGCCGATCGAGCCGCTCGTCCGGTTTTTGCCATTTAGCTGTTAAATTTAATTAATAAAATTGCAGAAAATTGAAAATTGAAATAAACCAAAAACGTCGGGCTCTCAAACTGAATCCTTATTTCCATTTCACAATTTTGAAGGAAAGAGACGAGCTCTGATTAAGAAATGTCCAATATTTATACTGATAACGTTTATTAGGTACCAGTTCTCTAACGGTTTTTAAACGGTCTAATACCGGTTGGACCAGTAAAGTGCGAGTCGTTCGCATTACCAGGTCATGCTTCGGTTCGGTCCTGACAACATTGCAATTTCTTTTCGGGGTCGTATGGATTAGGGAGTTCAATAATGAGGGATTTAGATTGAAATCTTTGCGCTTGGGGCAATGACGCAGCTAGTGAGGTAATAATCGAGACGCGTCAATTGCTGGTTGAAAACTAATCCAAACGATCCCTTCAAGTTAATCAATATCAACCCTCCAAATCAATTGATGAGATGTGGCTTCCAATCCAACCGTGTGAGCAGGTAGTCACAAAATAGACGGTGAGATTGAGCTCTCTCTGGTCCGTTCTCCGACCCAATGTTCAAAGAAATCACGGGAGGGACTTTTTTGGGTAATTTGTCTGACGGCACATCCGTTTCCCTCCCAAAAAACCGCGCACCAGACTGCTAAAACGGCGAAAGGGCCACATCGCCCAGCAGGAACAGTAAACGACGCCAGATGAGCACAATAAACGACAGGAAAAATCAGGGGTGAGTGAACTGCTGAACTGCCCCCAAGACAAAATTGGGAGTGTGGGTTTCGCTGCTTCCGCCCCTCTTCTGCTCTCGAAAGAAGGGAAGAGAGGGCTAGCTAGAGGAGGGACAAAGAAAAATGGCGGAAGACGAGAGCTCGAAGAAGCGAAGGCTGGACATCAATTGGGAATAATTTAATCGCCAGACCGACGATATGGATTTTGTTGATGCCAAGCTCCAAGGAGCCTGCTTCAATGTGTTTGAGGTCCGGTGAGTGCCGATCTTCCTGGTCAACGTCCGCCACCAGCCTCCGAGATGGATACCTGCAAAACAAAAGGACCCGCCGGCGGTGTGCCGGCGGGGACCTGCTCCGAAGCTCAAGTCAGTATTGAGAGGAGAGTAACCGGGAGCGGCATATTGAGCCGGCTCTTGAGAGAGATTTTGAAGTTCAACTCCAAAATGAACTGTCTAGAAAACATAAATGAGCGTGCTATTTATAGGCGTCTTCTGCTCCTAGCGTAGATGGTGTGTAACGAATAAAATAATAATACACATACCTACCAGCCACCCTGAGTGCAATGGGGGGTTAGTTTCAAGCAAACACATATCAACAATAAAATTAGAAAGTAAAGGAAATCATTTACCTCCGGTCTTTCTACTAAGCCCCGATATATAAGTAGTGGGAGGTGGTAAATGAGATTGTTTGAGGAACTAACACCTATCACTTACTTCTTTGCTACGTGTCTGCAGTGGGTAAAGCTCTAAATGGGAGTAAATAATTAGGGGCCTTAGCTCATCTAAGTGGAATATAGGGAAGTATGCCATGTCTATTATGTTTGTGGATGGTAAGCTCTCCATCCAACCATGTAAATGAATTAACACAGCTTTGTTCCTAGGTGGAAAATGGAGAGACATGAGGTGGAAACTTGTTGGGTTAATACTCAACTATGCAATGAGAGGTGGGTTGGGATGATTTGCCACGTTGCCTCACTCTTTTCCACATGGGTTAAGTGGAAATAGACTAAGTGTATGGGAGAGGAGGATAGCATGAGGGTTTACTTGATTGGTGGGGGAGTAAAAATATATTTTCCCTTACCATTAACCCACAAATTCCCTTCCATGTATTTGTTTCATTTGCTTGAAAGAAGTGGAAAACAATAGCAAGCAATAAAATAAAAGCATAAGGTGGCATTTCTTTCTTATTCCACGTGGGTTTAACATGGGGAAATGGATTTGGTGTTATGCTTTATGCATATATAGAGAAAACAAACTATGCTACACCATTGGTATTTGCTAGTAGCTCTACTTGCAAAGGAGAAGCAAATAGGTGTATTTTGTGCATTTTTGGTGTGGCTAATTGATTCCTGATTAAAAGTAATGTGTTATATGATGTCGGTTGAATACTGGGTCCATCAATTGCCCCCTTACCATTAGAAAAATTAAGGCTGAACCAAAATTTTCTTTTGGTAACAGCTCACTAGGTGAGTGATTTAAACCATGGTATGCATAGCAAACACAAATTGTACGATCAATTATTGGAGAGTCGTGCCAGTCATGATTGATGAACCATACCATCATGTCAAGCGATCATGGAAAACCGTGTCAATTGTGACAGAAAGGCCGCACCAGTCGTGGTGGGCACCATGGAGAATCATGACAATCTTAGTAGATGACCCAAACCAATCATGGCAAGCGACAAATGCCAATCGTTGCAGGCTTATGTTGTGTATTTAGTGTTGTCCGTGTATGAGTGATTAGGACAATAGTTTGGGTTATGCAACATCATAGGAGAATTTTGATATCAAGTATAAATGAGAGTTAGGACGGATTACCAGATAGTTTTTGAGTTTACAAAAACTTTCTCATACTTGGATTTTCTCGATTGGAGCATGAGAAGGGAATGGGTTCCCCTGCCAGATTGGTGATGACGATGTAAAAGTTGTCCCGTCAAGATTCGGAAGAGATGGAGGCATAGTGGTGTGGGTGAAAAAGTGGATCTATTTTCACAATAGCAATTTGCGGGGAATTGAACCCTTGACCTCATTGATGGTGGTGTGCCTACTTAAAAAGTAGACCACATGGGCTTCCTCGGTAAAACGTAGGTCTTTCGAGAGGCAGACCAAAATCGGTGCCCCCTCGACCTCGTTGTGACTTGCACACATCAGGTTTCTCCACCATCTCTCCTAGCGGGGTTACGTTAACAATGACAATTTATAAATTTCTTCCCCGAGCTCCCTAGTAAGCGCAAATTGTTGATAGAACTTTTCATCAAGCCTTACTATAAGTGCCAATTGGTTGATGTCAGGGCTCCATTCCATGAGGGGACTTGAGCATCTTATGATTTCGCGGCAAATCGACGGAGAAACTAGTGGGGTTGAGGGCCCGCAGTTCCACACCAAAGATCGACACAAATCAATCTTGGTCGAGAGATCCTCGATTCTTAGAGATAGCAAATTGATTGATGTTTGGAGTTGTATCTTGACGAATCCCTTCTTCGGGTTGCATATCCTGCATGCCCATCTTGTTGGGATTCTCGATTCTTGAAGATAGCAAGTTGAACGATGTTTGGAGTTGCATCTTGACAAATCCCATCTTCGGTTTGCATATCCTGCATGTCCATCTCGTTGGGATCCCTGATTCTTGGAGATAGAACCTTGATTGATGTTTAGAGTTGCATCTTGACGAATCCCAGCTTCGGGTTGCTGATCCTCTGTATTCACCTCGTCTTGAAGGATTGACGGTTTGTTGGTATTAATCTCACCGGGCCCCACGGTGGGTGCCAATTGTTGATGCCAAGCTCCAAGGAGCCTGCTTCAATGTGTTTGAGGTCCGGTGAGTGCCGATCTTCCTGGCCAACGTCCGCCACCAGCCTCCGAGATGGATACCTGCAAAACAAAAGGACCCGCTGGCGGTGTGCCGGCGGGGACCTGCTCCGAAGCTCAAGTCAGTATTGAGAGGAGAGTAACCGGGAGCGGCATATTGAGCCGGCTCTTGAGAGAGATTTAAAAGTTCAACTCCAAAATGAACTGTCTAGAAAACATAAATGAGCGTGCTATTTATAGGCGTCTTCTGCTCCTAGCGTAGATGGTGTGTAACGAATAAAATAATAATACACATACCTACCAGCCACCCTGAGTGCAATGGGGGGTTAGTTTCAAGCAAACACATATCAACAATAAAATTAGAAAGTAAAGGAAATCATTTACCTCCGGTCTTTCTACTAAGCCCCGATATATAAGTAGTGGGAGGTGGTAAATGAGATTGTTTGAGGAACTAACACCCATCACTTACTTCTTTGCTACGTGTCTGCAGTGGGTAAAGCTCTAAATGGGAGTAAATAATTAGGGGCCTTAGCTCATCTACGTGGAATATAGGGAAGTATGCCATGTCTATTATGTTTGTGGATGGTAAGCTCTCCATCCAACCATGTAAATGAATTAACACAGCTTTGTTCCTAGGTGGAAAATGGAGAGACATGAGGTGGAAACTTGTTGGGTTAATACTCAACTATGCAATGAGAGGTGGGTTGGGATGATTTGCCACGTTGCCTCACTCTTTTCCACATGGGTTAAGTGGAAATAGACTAAGTGTATGGGAGAGGAGGATAGCATGAGGGTTTACTTGATTGGTGGGGGAGTAAAAATATATTTTCCCTTACCATTAACCCACAAATTCCCTTCCATGTATTTGTTTCATTTGCTTGAAAGAAGTGGAAAACAATAGCAAGCAATAAAATAAAAGCATAAGGTGGCATTTCTTTCTTATTCCACGTGGGTTTAACATGGGGAAATGGATTTGGTGTTATGCTTTATGCATATATAGAGAAAACAAACTATGCTACACCATTGGTATTTGCTAGTAGCTCTACTTGCAAAGGAGAAGCAAATAGGTGTATTTTGTGCATTTTTGGTGTGGCTAATTGATTCCTGATTAAAAGTAATGTGTTATATGATGTCGGTTGAATACTGGGTCCATCAGATTTGATGCCGGAAGTCGTCCGGCCGAAGAGGGGCAGTCACACTGATGATCAGAACCCCCGCCAACAGTGCGCCCCCTCGCTGACGATGGCCTCTGAAGACGGTGATCACGGGTGCACCTTGAGGGCGGAGTGCGCTAAGCTGCCTGACGGGAAGCTGGAGGAGGCGATTGCGAGTCAGAGGAGGACTCTGGCGAATGTCGGTAGTAAATTGCCAGACGGAGGGCGGAAACTCCTGTCTTCCATTGCAATCTATGAAGAGGAGCGAGAGAGGAGAAAATCGGCCAAGGCAGCTATGGTTTGTATTCATTTTTTCTTCGGTCTACTCCAAAGCAATTTTGCTCTGAATTGGCTCTTGCATGTGTTGGTTTTTGTTCCATTTTGTTGCAGTTTAGCTGCTTAAGAAACTGGTGAAATTGGGTTCTTATATGGAAGTTCGGTTTCATTTTCCTGACCTTGGTTATGATCGTGATCATTCCTTGTGGGTGGATATTTCGCCTTTATACAATCTGCTTCCACTTGACTTGAGAATTTGAGGGGTACTTCATGACGGCCCATGTGCTCTTTGATCAGTGAGAAACTGAGAAGAGATGTGGAACTGTGCAATGTTGGTCACGTAGGTCTGACAACTTATTGCAGTGCTTGAGCATGGACCATTAAGCTTTCTGTCTATGTTTGCCAACCTTGAATTATAATTATTTGGATCAAGGTCATTGAAATTCGATAGAAGTATGAAGTTTTAGGTTTCTGCATGATATTGACATTCGTTTGGCAACCATGCCACTGAATGTCATTGGTTTGTATCTCCAGAAGAATTAATCTTCTTTATCCCTTGGACAAATCATGATGCTTCCTAGGAAGTCTGCTGTTAGGATTTAGCTTCTCCTTTTCTATATGAATGCCACGTGTAAGTACGCAATTTCGTTATGTTTGTTTATGCATTGTTACAATGACCTTCCCAGCCAATTGTTAACAATCCTCCTGAAGCAGAGTTTGTAAGTTTCTTGTCCCAAGTGGAAGGAGTTACACATTGCTCCATCTTATTGGTAAAATGAATGATTGTTTGGCTTTGGGGGGGGGGATAATTTTACAGAACAGTAGATATGGAATGTTGATTTCTTGGTTTGTTTGTTGCTTTTGGTTGTACTGGGCCAACTCAGCTGCCACGTGTTTGTGATCAAGGGGAAGCGACAATTTTGGTTTGGCGTTACAAAGTTTTCCCCTTAATATGGCCAAGGTCTTATTCATCCTGGTTTTTGACTTTTTAAGTTCCAACTTTTCACCACAAAAAAATGTCTAAAAACGGAAAGATGCACAGTGAATTCCATGATGGAGCCCGTTGTCATCTGTTGATGATATGATTTAATAGTCAATCCAGGTGTTAGTGCTATAAATGATGCTTTCATTGAGGGAACTTCCTTTTAATGATTTTTTTCTATCATTCCAGGCTGTTGGTGAATCTAAGCAATTCATACAGTCGGCAAATACAAGTACAAATGGTGAGTTTCACTGTGGCTGCCTCTTATTTTAAAAATCTGGTCCAAGCAGAAACTAAGTTAGTGATGGCAATGGTCATTGTAAATACATTAGTGGAATATGCAACCGTTTGAAGCATGAACATAAGAAGAACCCTGAGAACCGAAGTGTGTTCTGTAGGTGCTCCAGGTGGCAGTAAAGAGATGGCATCTTCTGAAATTCATTCACAATCGCGTTCTGGCTCTCTTTTCAGTAAAAAGATGGAAGATAATGTATGTTGCTTTACTTAATATTCTTACATGGCTGTTAATTCACATCCGCTCCACAAAAAACTTATTGTTACTGCCTTGCTATGGTTTCATTTAATAGGCAGATCATAAGGCTGCCAAGGCATTTGATAGAGAACTATCTACTCTGCGTCCTTGCAGCCCTCCGAAAGGGAAACTCAATGAGGGTTTGTCACAAAATGGAAGGCGGAAAAATGGATCATCAAAAAGATGAGGTTCTCAATCTTCTGTTGTTTGGAAGGACAAGGGAATTTCCTCTGATTCATTCTACTCTAAAGGGCAAAGTGCATCTAGACATTTTTCTAATGGGTAAGTGGTTCTCGTTTACTGTGTTTGCTTACACGTATCCTGTCCTCTTGGTTTTGTTACCTAAATGTTGGTGTGATTTCTATTTCTTACCTGTGGCAAATTATGTTGAAGGGCCAGCAGAGGTAAGAATTTGATGCCCGGTATAAAACACTAGTGAGATAGTCTAGGATAAGGCTTTTAGTCTAGATGAAAACTAATGTGATCTGCTTTCCTGATCTTGAAGCGCCCTGTAAGATGAAATAACTGGATAGCCAATCTGGGGCAGTGGTAATGATACTCTTGATCACTTTAACCAATACTGTTCATTCAAAATTTGATATGGCTGACTATATACTGTTCGTACTCACTAATGGGAAGCAATTTTTCTGAGAGTTTGCCTCAACAATGTGTTAATTTAGACTTTCATTTGCAGCATTTTATCTGTCTATCTCATGTTCCTGCTGTTTAATGTAGCGCAAGCTTTTCTCGGATTGATGTTTCTTTCCCTCTTTTTTCAGTGCTTTTGGTAGAAAAGAGGAATCTCCAGTCTCGCCTTTATATAGTCTCAGACCTAGAAAGGCAAGTATGAAAGAACACAATACCTGAACTTCTTGACACTAAGTTGTACTGGTTATTTGAGGATATATGGTTTCTCTTGCCTGAATCATTATGTTTGGTGATGTACTGAGAATAATTTAAAGTTGAAAGATTTTTGAATGTTCTCGAGGGGCTATAGAAAGAATCAAGGGGTTCCTTTTTCTTCGAAGGCGTTTTTTTTAACCTCTCCGAGTTGATATCTCTGTAGCTTATTTTATTCTAATCTTGTGAACAGAGGGAGACTGTGGTTCTTTTGGATGATGATGATGATGAGGTTCTGGAGACACTAGATTGTGCAAATGAAACACGTGATGAATGGTAAGTTCAGCTTCAAATGGTGCTTTCTCCTTTTGTTCTGTTTTGTTTTCTTTTGCCTAGTTCCATAGATTAACAAGCATTTTGATTTTCCCTGTGACCTTCAGCCTGAAAGATGCTAAAATCTACTACCCGTCTAGGTATGTTTAAATTTGTGAATTGGGCATAGTTAAGTTAAGAAGGTCAAACCAGGGATGGTCCAGGATACGACTATTGACTTCTTGATGTTGATGCAGGGATGATCCAGAATGTGTTGAAATCTGTTTCCAGGATATAGACTGTCTGGCTCCTGAAAGCTTCTTGACATCACCTATCATGAACTTTTACATACGGTAAAGTGAACTTCATCCTGGTTACCTTCTGTTTCACGGTGCAAACTGGTAGGTCTTATTACCAAGAACCAAAGATACACCGAACACAACCAAGCAGGAATATGAAAGCCTATCATACCAATAGGATACCACAAAAGGGCTTTTCTCGCCACTATATGGGTGTCAGTTAGAATGACCATCTTAATTAGTTCAGTGATGGAACTATATGTAATTTCAGATGGGCTACAGTAGGCCCTTCAATATATAATGTGGATGTTTATTCATATGTTAAGAAAAAATTATAAAGTGACAAGATAACTGACTATTATAAAGCACAAAGCTTTTCTCTATTAACTGGTTAACGGTGTTTGCGAGTAATGGAATTCACTTTTACCATCTCCTAAGTGATAGAAACGGAGCTGTTTATTGGGTGTAGCTGGTAATTGTGGTGAATGTTTCAGCCTTTCATCCTTGTTTATCACTACTTGAATCTGGAATATTGAGGTGGAGTACTGTCCACATTTTTATTTTATCTCTTGTTTAGGTACCTAGAGATGCAGGCTTCTCCATCACAAAAGGCTACTTGTGATTATCACATATTTAATACATTCTTCTACAACAAGCTTAAACAGCAGTTGTCACGAAATGTAGTTGAATTGATTGCTTCAGAACCGTGGCTGTCTGGGTATGTGATGTACTATTGTTCACCTGTCATCCACTTTCATGTGTAGGGAGGTGAAAAGGAATCCCTCTTTGTCAAGTTTAGAAGATGGTGGAAGGGTGTGAACTTATTTGACAAGGCATACATACTGATTCCTATACACGAAGAGTAAGTTTCTTTTCAGGTTCATTGTACTGTTTCTTCTAGTTGCTGATTGCTGCAAGTTGTCAGCTTCCATTTCGTATTTGAAGCTCGTTAAAAATGAAAAAAGGGACTTGCTTCCCAAGCTCCCTTCTTTCCCTTGATTTGGCGTGATCGTGTCATTATTCATGGGTGCTGATATATCAGTCTACACTGAAGCTCGTATTTGAAGCTCGTTAAAAATGAAAAAAGGGACTTGCTTCCCAAGCTCCCTTTTTTCCCTTGATTTGGCGTAATTGTGTCATTATTCATGGGTGCTGATATATTAGTCTACACTGGAGCTTGGTGATCATCTGTTTCCCAGAGAAGAAGGACAACAGATCAGGACCAATGTTGCTTCATTTGGACTCATTAAAGCTCCACTATAGCAGAGTTGTTTTGGAGGATATAACTAGGTGAGATTAAAAATACCTTGGAATTGGACGGACTTACTTTTGTAACTTGGTATTGGCTGTTTCTGGTCTTTTGTAACTATTTAAATAGTTAAAATAGATCTCTCACATCACAATTTATTTTTCATTATTCAGTGAAAAAATCATTTGTCATTGAATAACATCTCCTGCCAATTGCAATATCAATTCACAGCTTTTTGAGAGAAGAATGGCAATATTTACATCAAGAAGTTGCTCGTCAGTTAGATGTTGAGATCTCTGACAAAATATGGAAGCGTCTTCATGACATTTCTTCAAGAAGAATCGAGGTAAACAAGTGCCCCGAGTTTCAATATCATATGATGTTTGTGTTCTAGGATTGATCGAATCCAGCAGCTCATGTATGTATTCTGAATCCTAAATCAAAATGCCTACCAGGTTCCACAACAGAAAAATGATTATGATTGCGGTATCTTTGTACTTTACTTCATGGAGCGCTTCATTGACGAAGCCCCGGAGAGGCTGAAAGAAGTGGATCTGGACATGGTAAATTTTTCATCACACCCACACATTTTAAGATTTATAATTTTTTCAGTCTCTAGTTTTCCATGTCATCTGAATAAAACCTAAGAAGAGGCATGCTATCACATATATACAATTCTTTTGGTTGCAGTTCGGCAAGCAATGGTTCAAACCTGAAGAGGCATCTCGCTTGAGAAAGAAAATAAGAGATTTGCTCAAGACCGAGTTTCGTAAATTAAGAAAGCGCGGCATTGCTTGCGAATCATTGGCTATCCCTTCCGGAGGATCAACTTCAGCAGAAAACAGTAATTCAACTGAGTCGTCCTGACTTTGTACAGCTCAGATTCAGGATAAAGAAGCACAACAATGAGTTACCTATGTTCATCCCGAGAAAGAGGAGAGGAAAATTGTGGATACCCATTTTCTCTTGGGGTTGAAATAACAATAGGTAGAGTAAGATCGAGTTCTGAAGCCCCTCTTCTCTTTTTCTCCTTTTTGCGGGTTTTGGCTTCCACCATCAAAGACAAAGTGTACAGATATAGGGGAAGTACAGCAGTTGCGGGAATTTTGGCACATAAAGACAGAGTAGTGTCCACCATTCTTAGCAGTTCAAAAGACTGCTGCACCTCTCTGGATGATTATCTTTTCATACATGAAGTACCGTAGCCCTCCATTTTTGCAATTCATTTCTAGAGACAGAAGCAGTGTGGAGGGAGGAAAGGTGAAGGGTTGTTTTCTGTTTTCGTAATGGTGAGCAGGTCAATGGTGGCCTCTAACACCACGTCCTTCAAGGCTGGGTCAAGGTCAACAAATAAGGAGGGGGGAATCTGAAGAAGAAGAGAAAAAAATCCTCTTACCAGATCAAAACTAAGTCAATTACCCATAAGAGTTCAACAGAACGACATACAAACAGTACAGGCTCCCCAATAAGAGACAGAAAAAGAAACACCATCAAAGAGTCATGCTTCATCTGCAATATGATTCCGTAAAGCAACATCCAAAATGGTGGCCGATGCAGTTTCTTAACAGGCCTAAAGAATCAAAAAATTCCTTTACATCACATGCGGTATTGGATCATTGGTTACTTGTCAAACTCAGTGTGTGGTCTCAGTGCTCAGTAGTATAGCAAAATTTCTATACGTTGGTATGATCTAAACGCACCAATACGATCATGAATCATTTACGTAGTTCCTGCAGCGGGGTGGGGCTGGGGAGTTTTTCTCAGTATGGGAATAACCTTTTGCGGTTCTTCTTCTTCTCAGGAGTGGCAAGTATTGCTTTCACCCCATATGTAGTCATCTGGAAGTTCTCAAAGGCCTGAGAAACTGCTTCCACCTGTGACAAGGAAATTCGGCACCGGGTTTTGGTTCATATCAGGAGAGACCCATTCATTTGTCACATGAAACCAAGAAATGGTACCCTTGCAAATTTCTTTCTTCAAAAATAAGCATAGAACAAATTTACTAACCAGTTCAGGCTTCTTGGCGTAGACTCTCACGATCTTGTCCTGACAAACAGCAGGGACTAAGTGACTGATGCGCTCCACTGGTATCGTGAAGCTGTCCGTGCTGTCATAGTCCTGAGAAAGGAATAGATCATAGGAAAAGTCAATGTGATTGGAAGCTTCAAATATTGTATGTGCTTGGAATGAATCCTGATCTACACTCTCCAGTGGAAGCCATGATTGCATTCTTTACATGACAGTAGCAGTCACATGGGGAGCCAAATTAAGGGTAAAAGTTGGCTTGGGTTAAAGGTTATTAGTATTTAATAGTACCTGAAAAAACTTGACGCTGGGAGTGGATGAACATCGCATGAGGAAAAGATCAAGACCGGTTAGAAGAAGCAGAAACAAAAGTAAACAAGCAAAGGAGTTGAACCGCCAGAATTTTACAGTTAGTTACCTCTCAAGAGGATTGGAACTTCCACGGGTTAAGTCGATCTTGGCAGTGCTCACAGCAATATCTTCTTCCTTGAGTGTAACATCACTAGATCTCTGTTTTGAGCAGGCAGCAGATGTTGGTTGAGAAACAAAACAGTATTAGTAGTACTTCTAGAAAGCAATGAGAGCACTTATGTGTCATGTTACCACCTGGGAGCATATAATGTCCTGTGGAGTGACGTCCTTGAAGTGGTCTAGATTTTCCTTTGGAACCGCAAACTCATTGCAGAACTGGAACCCATAGAGGACAGAGGCAAACATTACAAAAGCTAATAAAGAATAGGCAGCGACAGCAAGAGAGAACAGTCTCCCACTCCACACCGACATATACAAGTTCGCCTCCTACCTGGTATAGATCTCTTCTCCTGATGCGTAGAACCAAATCTCGGGCCTCTTTGAGTTCTGGTCTTTCGTCAACTTCAATTCTTTTCAATATTGTGTCATCCAGCTGTGCAAGCATTATAAAACAGAGGACACTGATGATTAAACAAAGGTGGAATAACAAAATGACCCGATGATGAACTCGGATGATAGACGTTCAGAGTCGGTTGATGTTCAAGATGTTCAGACCTTCCAAAACTCTCCAGGGTTTTGAACAGCGTCAGCAATTCCAAAGGCCTCATTTGCTTTGGTTAGGGCATCAACAGCCATGAGTTCTATCCCCTGAAGATTTAGAGAACCCGTGTAAACTTCAAACAGCATAATATTTTATTCCAGAATGTAAGAAGTCTCACCTTCACTTTAGCATGTGTATAGATTGTGCGGTGCATTTCTGCTCGAGTCGAAAACAGATTGTATACCGTGAGATCTACAAACAATGAACCATCAGCATCAACAATAGTGTACAGTGAAGTAGCTGCAGTAATTTAGGATAAAGTTCAAATAATACTAACAGTCTTTGGCACGGTAACAAATCTCATCACCCAAAACCCTCATGGATCCCATTAACCTGGATGTCAACAAAGCACCCAGAAGACAAGTTCACATCAAAATAAAATGTTCCTAACTTCTCTCCCGGTGGGTCATATGAATCAACTTTCAGCCTAGCAGTAATTACGCTAACATGATGTTTGTTTCAGATAAAAGCATTCATGAAATCATACGCAGGTCAGAGTACAAGTGCATAATCTTTGGAGGAGTACACACCTCCCAAACATAAAACCACAGCCAACTCCACAAGCCCGCGAATCCCGAATAAGGTAGTCAAACCTAAATAAAGAGTATTGGTATTGGCAAACCAGAATGCAATCATCACAAACAAGAATATAACCAAGATGAGGTAAAAAGAAGAAAAGATGACTCACTTGTCAACATCTACTCCATTCCGGCCGTTTGCAACAATGTCATAGAGAAACTGCTTTCCAGTGGGACTCTACACCCAAAGAAATTTCAACAATTAACAAACTTAACGCAAGATAAACGTCTAGATAAAGCTCAGAATGCGAGACAACTTACATTGTGAGAACCATGTTCAGTACTTGCGACGACCATTTCCTGCCAAAAGAACAGAGAAACAAGAGTAACTGATATCAGTTGGTGTTCATTATGCATCTACTAATGGACAAAATTGAGTTGAGGAGAGGAAAGAAGGGAAAATTAGTGCCATGTGACTCTAAACCTTTGCTTTCTTTAGGCATTCTGGTTCAATGTCAATGTGGTGCTTGTCAACAATGTAGTCTATCATGCTGATAGACATGTCCTCATGAGACCTGAAAACAAACTTTGGCCTGTCAACTTTGGAAGTGTCACAAGTCATGCTGGAGGAAGTGCTCAGCCTTAAGGATACTCATCAGAGCATCTTATGCTCTAGTAACCTTGGATATGAGAAACTCTCCCAATACATCCGATGACAGATCATTACCGCAGGCAAAATTGAATCTACTAACCATGAGGCGCCATTAAGAAACAGAGGAAGAAATTGACGCTCAAAAGTGTGGCTGAATGGTCCATGGCCGATGTCATGCAATAATCCTGGAAAGATGAGAGAAGCAACAGGTAAAGCAAGAAAAAAACAGCTATATGCAGAAACATTAAAAAGCAAAATACACTTCACTCACCAGCAAGCTTCACAGTCTTTATATCAAAATCCTCAATGGGAAATTCCGGATCCTTTACAGGTTGAAACATCCATTCAGAAAGGTTGTCCATCGACATAAAAATCAAAAAGAGGTTTAACAGAACATTTTAGCCTCCGTACCTGCTGAGCTCTGAGACGATAAGCTACTTCTCCAGCCAAATGGTACACCCCTAACGAGTGCTCGAACCGAGTGTGCACTGCTCCAGGGTACACCATGTTTGTTAGTCCTGCAAACAAGTAATTATCACTCAGTGGAAAGAACGAGTAAATCAATGTACAAAACGAATAGTCTAGGAACTGATCTCCAAAAAGCGTTTAACAATCACCAAGTTGCTTGAGATCCCGAAGCCTGCGTCATGGAATAACATAGTCAGAGTGGTGTTCTTGATTATGAGAAACTGAAGTTAAAATTAGCAAGTATGGACGTCGAACTTGCCTCTGAAATTGTTCAGTATCGACGAACTTCAGAGCAAGCTGAAACACAATGAAGAGAAACAGAATCCATCGTCAAACTCACCAACCCTTCCTTCCAGAAACAAAGGTAGCTAATAAGAGAATGATCTCTGGATCAAACCAACAAGAGATCATATTGTCAACGAACGCACTCCACATTAGAAGAATTAGAAGCGACTGTTGCTGAAACAAGTAAAGAGAGAGGAAGAAGAAAAAAGAAGACCGAAAAAGGACGTAGAAATGCTGCTTCCAAGAAAGAGTCAAAATGCTAAAACTGGAATGCGTTCGCTCGACGTTACGGAAGCTATAGCCATTCGCGTCCAAGATTTCACTAAAACGTTTCGAAACCTTAAGGACGAACGGTTACTTGCAGACTACCAAGGAAATTCCTCCTACGCAACATCGGCGTTCGTTTCATCAATTCCGTGGACGCAAATCAAATCTCCGTTAATGGATAAAGAATTCCGGCCAGAGAGCAAAAACTGGACTCCCAAATTCTTTAATCATGCACAGCTCAACCATAAACACAGAGATTCCGCCGGAAATCGAGTAAAAAACTTCAGGCAGTAATTGATAAATCGGATTTGATAGCTAACGAACAAAATCGAACGGAACAAACATAAGCAACAGCGGCGCAGAAAACGAGTTGAAACGGAGATTACGGACAGGCATGACCGACGAAAACGCCGGAGGGAAAAACGATGGAAACGCACTAGCGAGAGGAAAAGCAGCGAGAGTATGTACCGGCTCCAAGTAGATGGTGCCATGGACGTTGTCGAGGATTTCCTTCGAGAATCTGCGATTCTGGCAGTAAGACGCATAGTTGGAGGCGCAGTAACCGTCGTTGGAGGAAGCTCCCATCGTCGTCGGCCTCAGCTCCGGTATCGGACTGCGAATGCGGGAACGCCGCTCTCACTGTAATACCTGGAGAAGACGGAGGAGGAGCAGAAGAAGACGGCGATGTTAAAAACCGAAAGCACACAGAGAAAGGAAGCTACTAAGCAGGCCGGGAGAGACGATTACTGTTCGAATTTCTTGCGAGAGGTGATGGAAATGGCGGAGAGAGAGGGAAGATAGAGAAGCGGCAAGGATGGGAGGTATAAATAAGCACTGGAGGAGTGAGCAATTTTTCGGCGAAAATGGGGGGACTGAGCAGAGGTGGTGTGGTGAATTGGCAAAGTGCCGCCAAAAAGCTGGATTTCCATCCTCACGCGCTCGGTTGCACGCTCGAATCGCGTGGAGGTCTTTGTTAATTGACAAGAAATTAGTAAAGATTAAAGAACATTCCGTCGGTGGTACTGACGGGAGTAACGGCGGGACATGCAATTATGAGTAATTGATATCGATTAAAGTGAACGGTAAATTAAACCGCCGTCTCCCCAATTATTTAGGAGAAATACTTACCTGGTGGTTTCCCCAACAAGCTGGCTTTGGTAGGGGTGCGTCATTGTCAGCGGGAGGGCAGCTACAATTTGCACTTTGCTAGAGCACACGTCATCACAGAATATTGGAATTTTATCTTTAAGAAAGACAGAATATTGGAATTTAGACACGCTCGTGGGTTCAGCAGAATAAAACAGAAAACCTGCTTTCGTGATGCGCAAGGCATATAAAACTCCTCTCTTCTGTAAGTACCAATTATGAGGATTGACGAATCAGAATATTTTCGATTTTTACCAAAAAAAAGAATATTTTCGATTTGGTCTTTAACTAGCATACAAAGTACAAACATGCAAACATCGTTCACTAATTCTATGTTAAATTCATAATAATAATAATATCATTAACATGAAGCCTGGAACTGCTCAGGGATTCGGAGGACAGAAGCCTGGAATGTCCTGGGCTTCCCAAGCCCCAGCTCCCCGCAAGCAGCCATCTGGTCCTCACCTCTGCTCTGCTAACAATGAGCAGTTTCCTTGTGCTAGTAGATTACGGAACTCGATCATTCTGTCCATGCTGGTTGGTCTGAATTGGGAGCCACAGTGAGGATTAATCTGAATGAGATTAATCTTGCACGGAATGCCTTTAACTAGATAGATCAACTTCCTTGCATCCTCAACGCTGACAGTGACAGACAACAACAATCAGATCCACTCAAGATTTCAGACCAGAGGGAAAACTCCAGTGGAGTATGGACCAATGAGTGCTTTCACAAGCCATGAGAAAAGGTCAATCAGCATCTAACCTGTCAGCTACACCAGCAAGCATTACATACTCCAACAACAGCACTTTGTACTTGTTCTAGAATTGAAGCTCCTGATGCAGTGTGTCGAGAAGCAAGCCGATATTATGCTTGCAGTTGGCATGATGCAGTTTCTTACCTGCAAAAATATTTGGTTGTGGGAAAGTAGGCGAAATCTTTATCAATACGTGAGCTTCTGCTTGTTAAGGCAACATAGCTCATGCTGGAACTCACTCACCTCATCAGTTGTTGCATTTAGACTGACAGCCAAAGCAGAGTTCGATTCATGGAGAAATCGCTCGAGTTCGGGAACAAGCCCGCCTGCAGAAACAGTGGCCTTCCGGGGGCTGAACTGAAGTCCTTGCTCATCCACCATTATGTACTTTTATTACATTTTCAATGTTCTGAAGAGGTTCTTCCATTCCCTGCGGATCATCAAAAAGTAGCAGCCATTTAAAATTAAAATCAGTTTGTTTCAGGAACCACTTTAGATCATCTAAATCTGAAGTTATGTTGACAGTTGAGACTACAACTACTATGAAGACCACGTTAGTGATACAACCAACTTCACTTGTGAGCAGATGCCTTGCAAATACAGCTTGCTCTACTATCTCGGCTGCCTCATCCTGCAAAATCGATCAAGGAAATGCAGCATGAAGCAGCCAAGAAACATGAAGATCATATAGCCTAAAGTGGTTCCTGCCAGTGTAGCAGAACTGACAACTGTCGTCCTACCTCTCTATCACATGGTATCACGACTGCTTCTATAACAAGTCCATCATTCAGCCTCAATAAAATCTAAAACATCCTGTGAGTTTCAAGATCAATGAGAAGATTCTCGTAGCTTATTCAAGGTTAGAGACATATCACAAGCAGGTGTAAGTTTTGAACAAAATAAGGAAGAGACATGGAGCAACGCATTCTCTCAAAATGGATGGCAGGAATTAGCATTTCAGAAGGTTAAAAGGATTACCTTTCTAGTTCCATCAGACGCAGATGAAGAACGCACCGAGGGGTTGGCCGTGTTTGAAAAGAAGCGGTGGCCAAGAGTGAAATTGAGGGCAAAATTATTTGGTACTGCCGGCGGCTAGGATAACCTAGCCTTGTGAAGTGAAAGGGTAGCAAAAGGGGAGGAGGACAGCAATGGAGGGTGTCTGAATACCAGGTTAGAGTTGGGTGTGGTGCATCGCAGCAGCCCATCCATTCTCTAAGTTTGCTGTTCGAGCAAAAATACCAACGCAGAAGTGGACAGACAGAAGGACGAAAGGCAAAGATGCAATAAAGCTGTAGTAATGATGGTCTGACTATTTGTTCTGTAGTGAGGATTTTCAATGCTGTAGTTGAGTCCAGTTGATGAGCTCCAGTAGGCTACACCGTATGCTATGTCTCCAATCGGAAATCAACAAAGTCTCACTCATTTCAAGTCATAATTAATAGAAATTAGAGGAGGGAAAAGTACCGTATATTGCTATATGCAAGTCCAGCATAAAAACGTATTCTTTTTGTTAATCACTCAACGATGATAAGTTCACTGCTAATACGAAGTGATAATATCCAGGTAGACTCATTGGACAAAACCTATTGATACTATGGATTATGGAACTCCAATAGTAGCAAAATGGCAATCACCTCTAGAATACAATACTGGGAAGAGAACCCTCAGAGCAACATCCAGAATTTAGTACATCACCTTTCCCCATTTCCCACACCAATACATTTGGAAGCCAGTTGATGCCCCAGCAGTGATGCACATGCAGGTCCTCATTCCAGTGACATCTCCTCTTTCCATATGCAAATACAGCCATGGTCAGAATTAATCCCTGTGGATACAAAGCATATATGAAATGTTAGGCTTGCCCTTCCAGAAAGTACCATGTTGTATCTAGAACTTGTATGCAAAGTGCCATTTTAGTTCAGTAAACGAGAAACAAACATGCCACATATCCCTTAAACTGGAAATCACAATTGAATATCTCAGGTAGATTTCACAGTTATGATGTGTTCCTCCCAATCCACATCAGCAGGTATGTGTGTGATTGGATTATGGACAGCAACAATAAATGTGCTTGCAGGGAAACTAATTTACAGGAGGTAAAAGAAAAACTTACCAGTACTTAATCAAGCCATCCCAACTGCAGGTAGCCACTTTACTTTGTTCCAATGGATGCCATTCACACCCAATGCGCACTTGTTCATGGCATTTTAAGGTCCTGAAAACTTTGCAGCTCTTCCAGCCCCAGAACCAACACCTACCCTCACCATCTCCCGACATAACAAACCGCCCGTCGGGAGAGAAATTGACCTGGCAGGCATATCCTCATACAATGTGTCCAGCAAACCTCTTCTTCTTATTCAACTGAAACCTTTACCTAGTGCTGTATATAAGGATTTGGTTATCCAAAATCTGTGCTGCTAGCCAAATTTGAATTGGGATGAACAGATATCGAAGGCATGGAATGCACGTGAGGCTTACTGATATACTTTATCACAGCAGGTATCCTGAATTCCCACACAAAGCGATTTATCATCGCTTGATGCGATGAATCTACTGCTGTTATCCACGAAAGTGATGGTGTTCACTGCCCCTAAATGCATCATACTCCTGAGTGATCTGGCCACTATTCATATCCCACTGCACTATTTTCTTATCACTCAACCCGGCCAACAATACATTCTGCTTATCTTCATCAGGATTCAACTTAACAAAATAAGGAACTTTTCGAGGTTGAAAAGGTTGAAATCACCTGACCAGTCTCAGTATCCCAATACTTGATATTCTTATCATACCCAGCGGACAGAAACTTAGTCCCATCATTCGTGTAACATATGCCTCTAACTGCCTAAGAATGAACGACTCATGTAAGTTATCATACACTGGCCTGAATTGAACACATCCCAGATCTTCACCTTCGTGTCCATCCCAGCTGAGAGAATCAAATGCCCAGATTTGGGGAAGAATCTGATGGCGGAAACACCCTTCGTATGCCCGCTCGATGTTGCGTCTTCCACAAACCCTAACTTGTGATTCATCCGGAGCGGTGGATCTCGCTGGAAGGAGACGCGGCGGAGAGGATTCTGGAGAGGAGCTAGGGTTTCGAGCTCGGCGGCGGCGCGCTCTTCCATTCCTTCGCCGTCGATGTAGGATGCTTGGAGTATCCATTTTTCGCTGTTTGTTCGACGGCGATTTGCGCGGGAGGTGAGTGCAAACAAGTCCGAAGACTACCAACTAACTGGATTTTGTTCTAAATGGGCCATATGTTGTTGGGCTCCCGGATTGCGTTAAGGCCCATTAATCTGCTTGGATAGGAAAAAGAAATTGAATGAAGCTTGGATAGAAATTAAACATTGGATTGGACGTCTCGTTAATGTTATAGATCCCGCAAACGGAGAATTTAATGGTAGAAGGAGATAAATGCCAAGAAATGAATTCAATTTTTTGTGACATTGAAATTTAAAGGTCACATCCAATTTCTGTGAAAACAATCAATTTCATTCTTCAGGTTATGGAGTAATAAAAATAATTATTGAATAACGCAATAACTGTATTAAAAGTGAATTTATGGTGGTGTCTAGTAACTATAATGAATTAGGGCTGCAATGAGCCAAGCTACTCGCGAGTAATTTTCGAATCGGGAAAAACTCGTTCGAAATTCGATTCGTTTACTAACGAGCCAAACTTGAACTTAGCTTTGTTAAACTCGCGAAGCTCGCGAGCTAGCTCGACTCGGTGGCTTGTTGAGCTCAACTCGTGAGTTGGCTCATTTAGAGCTCATGAGATGTCTCAACATTGTGGTTTGAGGGCCAACTTGATCATCGACTTATGAACGAATCGATCTAATTTGGACTTTCATAATTAATAGGATTGTTAAATTATATATCTCACATCATGTGAAGTTTAGCATGTTGAACATGTAAGAAAATATGCCTTAATTTTTAATTCTGTAAAGAAATTATGTACAAAATAGTTTCGATACTATAAAATAACATAATTTGAACTAGTTAAAATTTATTGACTAAACAATATGACACCTACAAATTATAGGATTTTGCTACGGTGACATGGACTTTTCGGTCGACCTAATCCAAAAGGCGGTCGACCGAATTGACTAATTCATGTATGTGTCGGACTGAGTTGATTGTTATTCTGTTATTGTTTTAGTTTTTTTTTTATGTGTGAACAATTATGATTTCTGTTTTTATTGTATTTCTTGTTAGTTTGTTTAGTTGTTATGCTATGAATTGATGAGTCTTTGTTATCATTATTTATGACTAGTTATGATGGTTTGAAACATAATTTATACGAGCAAAAGAACCACACAAATCGACATACATAAGCGAAAAAGACACGGGGCATAAGTTGACTTTCTTGTATTCGGTCGACCTCGTACTGGATTAGGTCGACCTCAAAACCAACACTTGATCTTCATTTTACGTCAAATGATCGGACAAATTGATAGAACACTTATCTTCTATCTGGTCGACCTCTTTCTTTATCTGGTCGACCATGTTGTTAATGGCTGCCATCAAGTGGTCGACCTATAAACCTTTACGGTCGACCATGTTGTTTCTGACGCAACGAAATGGTTCTGACGCCAACGAAATGGCCGACCGAGGTTTATTCTGGTCGACCAAAAATAACAACTTAAACTATGAGTGGTCGACCAGGTGGTATTTGCGGTCGACCGCAATGCTTTCTCGTGCTGTCCAAATTAGTCAATTCGGTCAACCGCCTTCAAAATTAGGTCGACCGAAAAGTCCATGTCACGGTGACATGCATGTCATAGTAGGCATACCCCAAATTATAATATAAGATTGATTAATGTTGAACATTTGATTATTTATTTATCGTTACATCAATCACATGTACCATACACCACATACAAAATGAATGTATCAAATACGATCTAAGAATTTAGTAAACAAGCTTAGCTCGAACTCGACTCGGCTCGTTAATAAATGGCTCGAGCTCGAGCTCAACTCATCTGTTAACGAGTCAAGTTCAAACTGGGGTAAAACTCTGCTCAGCTCTGCTCATTTGCAGCCCTACATAGAATTATCGTTTCATACCAAGCCATATGAAGATAATTATTCAGCACACTAACATCTAGTGAATTTGATTCTATATTTATGAAAATTTAAAGGTTAAGCATGTTATAAAACTAAAAAAACTTCTATTGATAATATGAAAAGAGTTAGATATATAAGTAGAGCTTCTTTGAGTTAGTTTTAAAAGAGAATGAGGTATATGTAAAACGGAAAGACTTGTAGCAACATAACATTTGTATGGATATAACCCTCGAAAAATGTCAGAGATGAAACACAAAATTTTAATTGTGAAGAAAGGATAAAAAAAAGCTCTTGTGTTGGTCTTTTCCGGTAGCAACTGTCTGCTCTTGCTTCAGAGGTATCGGTGATGTGGTTTGGACTCTCGAGGAAAAATCTTCTCATCTTGTTATCTATTTTTTTTCAAGAGTCGTAATTTATAATCAAGATTGAGTAGTTATCTATCCGTTAATATGCGAGTGCGCAACATCTCCATCCGTCTTGAACTCTTTATTTATATAAAAGTTGCCTTACAAGGTCTTTCAAGAATAATATGACACTTGAAACTAGCCCCACCTACAATATTCTTCTTGGTTATGCCCAATTTTATAAGTCGAAAATTTAAGAATAATATGATAATCGATATTAATATGTTTAACTCCTTTTAAAAAAATCATTGTAATTGTCCTAGAATTGTGGTTGGACTCAATCTACATGGTAGATCTTTCCACTTCAACCTACATCAGTCAAACAAATTGTCTTTATCTCAAGACAACGAGTTTCAATAGTTTCACTCCATTGATCGCTTTCATCTGATCTTAAAGCTTCTTGTTAAATCGTTCAGCCAAATGGCAAAATTTTGTTTTGTGAGACAGAACACACTTATTTGGACTACACAAGTGTCTAGAGCAACTGCAAATTTTGACCATAGCCAGCATATATGCATGTGTTTTATTGATACAAGACGGCCAATTACCATTCAACGAAGCATCCTGTGGCTAAATTGGTAAAATGAACAATCCCAAAGGTGAGCGCACAAATGAATGATGATGAAATCATACAGCATGCACAATGCAGAGATTTCCACACTTAATAACGAATACACACAAATGTTTGGTTCAAGGGTTCTTCATCTTGATCCTTAGCCTCCTCGCAACCTGGGCAGCTTTGGGATGAACTGGCCTCTTGCTGCCATCGGACTGTTCCACCTCCACCCAATTAATCACCTTCAATATGACGGATTGAGGGACCTTCTTACCATCCCCGTCTGCATTCATGCTCTTACTGTTACTGCTATTCCCTCTTGATGATGATGATGAAGATCTCTTCATGCCAGTTTCCAATGCTTTCTCCACGAAATCCATGAACCATGTCCCGGCTTCAGACTCGATCTCCTTGCCCAGCTTGATCGTGCTACTTAAGCTGGAAGAACCATTGGCAGCAGCAGCAACACCAGCAGAAATAGTTGTGGTGGTTGTTGGTTTCCTGTTCTCATCATTCTCGCTCACTGCTTCAAGTTGCAGCTTCCCAAGAGGACTAGATGGCATCATCTTTCTCTCGGAGAACACCTTGCCAGCCGTCGATGATCTCAGGATCCTTGAGCTGGTACCAGAACTCTGCTTCTGCTCAGAAGGGAAGGCAGCAATGGACTTGTACAGGGCTGTTCTTCTTTTTGACTGGTGGTTCATGGAGTTGTGAATGAGTTCATTCAAGATTGGAAACTCTTCCTCTGGATTCTTCAGTACTCGTTTATTGTTGTTGTTGTTAGCCTTTTGATCAGCTTTCGGCGTCGATTCCACAGCAGTAACAGTAGGAGTAGTGGCTGCTTGAATGGAGAGCATATCGTTCACTGCCTGCGCAATTTGGGAGTGGAATTCTATGAACTTGTCGAAACAAGCAGATGGGGCTTCTGGCCTTGCTGATTTTGTCAAATCAGACAACATTCTGCAAACGAATTTACCCCCAACCCTTTAGAAATTCAGAACTGGAATCAAACAGAAAGGAATCAGTTCATTAGTCATTACTTACCTGAGAGATCGGACTAATGTTTCAGTAGCAGAAGCCTCTCTCAATGCCTGGAGAGCCATCTTCTGAGCAGTTTCCCTCTGCTGCACTGCTTCCTGTACATTTGTGACCACCAAAATTTTAGACCCTTCTCTAGTTTTTGCTTTTCAACTAGAGAAAAAAAAAAAAAAAAAACAGATTGCTGCACACCTTCCCGAGCGTGCTTAGCTTTCCCGGCAGACTCATCGGAAGACTGGTTTCCGGGCTGCCGTAGACCGAATTAACGGACTGAGATTGCTGCTCCGCCGCAGCATTTGTGGTGGACAAGTTTTGTGTTTCTCCGCAGCCCAATTTCAGGGAACCCACTACTTTGGCGTTCCTCATACTCGGTGGCGGCGTCGAGCTTTTCTTCCCCTGAAAACAGGCAACGGGGCGAACTTAATTATATGATCAAGAATTCAAGATCGGCACAAATTAAGGAGTAATGGTTCAACTTGAAAGAAGAAAAAGAAAAATGTACCTACAGATGAGATGTAGGGGCTGCTAATCGGGATTCTGGAGTCTCGATCGCCGCAAACGCTTCGACTCCTGGGGAACTTGGAAGCCGAAGAAGGCGCCGCGCAGCTCTTCCTCAGCAAGGGGCTCTCCGCCGCCGCCAACTTGGGATTATCCGCCATTTTCGACAGCAATCCGCCGCCTAGCGAGCATCGAAATCCGCTGTTGCTCTCGCACCCGTCTTTGCTAATCACCGATCTCCCTCTCATTATCATCGGAGACATCAACGGCTTCTTCGCAGAGCTCATCCTCTGTTTCGCCGGCGTTGCACACTGATCGAAATCCAACGGAACCGGTTTCAACGCCATCGGGGAACCAAATTGATTCCGATGATCGTCTCCTCCTCCTCCAATTCCCCAAGAACCTCTCCGATTACCTGAAGCCCTGACCTGGAAATTGACCTGGTTGCCGCTTTCTTTCCTCTCCCCTTTCCCTCTCAGACCCATCAACGGCTCCGGCGTCCCCATCAACGGGTGCCGTCCGGGGAGCGGCTTGGCGCCTTTCACGACCGGGACCGGCGACCCCGGCTCCAGCCTGTCGACGTAGATGAACTGACCCAGCTGCATCTTGTTGCTGAGGACGAAATCGTGCTGCTCGGGAGGCAGGGAGACGTAGATGGAGTGCGAGGAGTCGGAGACTTTGATGTAGAACCCATGTTTGGGGAAGAGGGATTTCTCGTCCAGGTCGGCGGGGACGATGTCGGTGACCTGGAGGAGCGAGCTCCGGTGCTCGCTAGTGGGTTTCGTCCCGGTGTTCATTCCTTCAAGAAGCTTGGACAGGATTCCCGGCGCCAGAGCCGCCATTGGAGGGTGACGTGGAGGAGGATGATGAAACTGAATTCGGCCAGCAGGAAGAAGAAAGAGGGGAACTTGGAAGAGTGAAGGTAAAACTGTGGGTGAGAGTGTGAAGGGTTTTAGATTGGGTTAATGGAGGTCATGGGGACGGTGAGGAAGAGAAGGGGGGAAAAGGGCAGAGTGGCCGTTGGCAACGGTAAGGAAGGGAGAGAGAGAGAGAGAGAGAGAGAGAGAGAAAGAAAATAGAGTGAGAAATTTTTATTTCATTTCGATTTTGTTAAAAAGTTAGAGGGAGAGAGCGTATGGAACGCCGAACGCTATTGTTTGGTACGTTGCGGCAACGGTCATGTGAGTTGGTGCGTCTTGTCGTAAATGAGAATTGAAAATTGGATTTTGGTTTTGGCTATGGAGGCTGATACGTAGAACTTGTCCCTTCGTTTTGCTTGTAGATCGAACTGGGTACACGTTGTTTTTGGGTGCCAAGCGGCAAGTGCCATGGGGATTTTTCCAAAAAATAGCACTGTTTTAAAAAAAAAAAAAAATAGCACCCAACTCCGAAAAATTCCAAAAATAGCACCATTTTTGCAAAACCGTCACCCGTACCATCGGTTTAGGCGAAAACCGCCACCTGGGGGCGCATTTTTCGATGAAAACCGCACTGGCAGGGGGCGGTTTTACAGATCGCACCCCCACCATGCGGTTTGGTTGCAGACGGCACCCCCACCATGCGATCTGCTTTTTTTTTTTTAAATCCCAACCTAGGTGGAAACTTCAAAAGAACGTATCTTTGTGTTCGGGTATCCGATCGTCGCGAATTTTTTTTTTATTCCGCATAACTTTTTGAGATCTTGCAAGTCGAAGACTGCCGAAGGTGGTGTGGTCCCACCTTCGTCCCAAAAAATGTCGTTTGCTACCCCGAACGAGCTTTTTTCCGATTTCGTCAAACTTTGGACAAAAAATGTCGGCAGGTCCTGGTACTACACACAGTGACACAGACTGCTTTTACTGTGCATTGTGACCTAAATGTAGTGTTCTATCCTGGCGTGGGGTGGCATGTGGGCGGGTGTTGGGTGTTGCCTATTTGGAATCGGATGGGATTTGCCAACTCGGTTGTGATGGAACTCTGATTTGTTTGTTGCTGGTTCGGTTGGTGGTTGTCGACCGCGTTGGTCACCAACCAACCAGAGACCTTTATATGCCTGGGGCCTGCATAGGTGCGCGGATCGATGTTTATTCAGTTGAGAAGGGATCGCAGTGGTTGGAGATGTAGCGGGTTGGGGGATGTGTCTGTTCTGTATCAGAGAGGTTGAGACAGACAGTGTTGTCTTGTTTTTGACGAAATCGGAAAAAAGCTCGTTCGGGGGTAGCAAACGACATTTTTTGGGACGAAGGTGGGACCACACCACCTTCGGCAGTCTTCGACTTGCAAGATCTCGAAAAGTTATGCGGAATCAAAAAAATTCGCGACGATCGGATACCCGAACACAAAGATAAGTTCGTTTGAAGTTTCCACCTAGGTTAGGATTTTAAAAAAAAAACAGATCGCATGGTGGGGGTGCGGTCTGCAACCAAACCGCATGGTGGGGGTGCGATCTGCAACCAACCCGCATGGTGGGGGTGCGGTCTGTAAAACCGCCCCATGCCAGTGCGGTTTTCATCGAAAAACGCACCCCCGGGTGGCGGTTTTCGCCTAAACCGCTGGTACGGGTGGCGGTTTTGCAGAAAGGGTGCTATTTTTGGAATTTTTCGGAGTTGGGTGCTATTTTTGAAAAAAAAATTAAACAGTGCTACTTTTGAAAAAATCCCCCATGGTGGAATGTCAATCTTCAGAGAAAAGCTAATCTCTCGTCTAAAATTTGTTATATTGCATTAGAAGTCACTCGATTTAACATCCGTTTCATCATTGCTAACTAATCGTTTAATTTTGTTACGTTGTCCTATATGAGAATCAACTATGATCGATGGCGTGACCAATAGATCCACAACGAGTGAAAATCAGACATTTCTTCCTTCTAATGGTGGACTGAGCAGCAAGAGCCAGTAGAGTTGAAGCGGCACTAGCAAACCAACAAATGCAACAACTCCATCGCGAGAAATTGTGAGCACAAAGGTGTGTGGGATGAAGGATGACCATTTCTTCACAATGCACCAGGAATTTGATGAAATAACCAATGATGGAGAGGATACCTTGTTTGAGGTTTGATATGTCATCATACATTCGAGATGAGAACCTCATTGCCTTCGTTAATCGTTCATGAAGGTCTTCCCAAACTTCACTGTTGTGTTGAACCACAACATCCTGCAAAACAGGCCGTTGGAGTCAACCAATAACCAAACATTGGCTTGATCCCAAGCCGTCCGTAGAGGATCATCTGGAAAAGAGGAAGAAGCACTCGGAACGATCAACTGAAACTTGTTTCTAAAGTGGAGCCTCGGACGCGTGAACGTTTCATTCGTTGGGGTTTCGTAAACGAGAACTAAGAAAAAATGAAAAGTACTGATTTATTATTTTCTTGTGAATAAAACGTAGAGGTTAAGTACATATTTATAGGGAGAACCCTACAAACCGTTTCCCTTCTGAACAAGGAAATTCAATACTAGACCGACTCCTAACCGATTACTTTCTCAACAAAAAGTCTTACACTCTATACCTGTGTGATGTCCATGATTGATGAGGGTAGTACGCTATGTTTACGACTACTATCCAGAACCTCCTCTCTAGTCCAACATTAGGGAGAATGCACCTTGCTCTCTATAACAATGCCTGGTTCATCCTTTCTGCAACGCCATTCTGTTGTTGTGTGTCCCTAACGGTCCGATGACAAGCAATCCCTTCATCCTTGCAGAATTCATTGAACTCTAAACTACAGAACTCCATAACATTGTCCATTCGAAGTCTCTTGATCTTCTTCCCGGTCTGATTCTTCACCAAAGTCTTCGCTGCTTAAACTTCGTGAAGGCTTCACTTTTCTGCTTCATTATGAAAATTCCAGGAAATCTTGAGTAATCATCAACAATAGACAGAAAATACCTGTTGCCTCCAATGGATTCAACTCGTGAAGGACTCCAAAAGTCAGGGTGGAGGTAATCCAGTATCCCCTTCGTCTGGTGGATACTCTTCTTAGGAAACTTGCTGTGATGTAGCTTCCCAAACACACTATGCTCAGAGAATTCCAAATTCTGCACCTTTTGCCCACAAAGAAGATCCCTCTTCGACAAATCTTGCATCCCTCGTTCACTCATATGACCCAATATCATGTGCCAGAGAGTGGTCATATCTTCTTGTGGAACCCGAGACGACGCTACTGCAGCGAAACATGACAACACCGACCCTTGTAATGCATACAAGGTCCCATGCTTCACGTCCTTCAGCACCTTCCTTGAACCTTTGCAGACATACACAACTCCACCTCTTCCCTTGAAACTAAGACCCTTGTTGTCGAGGAGACTCAAGGAAATCAGGTTCTTCGTCATCTGTGGAACACGACCCGATCCTTTTGAAAACCAAACCACAACTCAAACCACAAACCGGTTACTCCGGAGCAGCCCAAAACAGGTTTACAAGTCAAAACCAAAAACCAATAACCACAATGTTTAAGATTTTCAAGTGAAATGTCCTAAACACTTGGGCGACCTCAACCCAGAGCAACAAAACATAAACACAACCCTTGAGGTTCCCCAGTATACTCATTAAGACATGAAACTAAAGCCAAATATAATGGGAGGTCCCATCTCGTTACCCAGATCCAGTTGACATCTTCAGGTTAGCCGCGACTGCTCTCCTCGGGTAATCTCCTCTTGATGGATGCGTCCTCTTCCCCTCAATGCACCTGGTGAGTGAGAAGGGGTCAGTCTTGTCGTTACTCCCTAAGGTCTTTGCCCTAGGCAAACTCCTTACTAAACAGGTTATTTTGGGGAATGCCTTCCTAGCATGAAAGCCATTCTCGCTTTCTTCTCTTAAATAATCATCCTTATCAACTCATTTCAACATTTACTCCTCAGAGTGCTCGCCTTCTATCCTTAACTCAAACACAAAACATTAGGACCACTGCGTTACGTCTCGCCATCCAGTGTCCTACCCTAGTATGCCAACCGCGTTACGTCTCGCCGTCCGGTTGCATACCCAAACTCGGCAATGGCACTGCGTTACGTCTCGCCGTCCACTCCATGCCCGTCAACTACTGCGTTACGTCTCGCCGTCCAGTAGTGACCCGACCATCTACCGCGTCCAGTAGTGGCCCAACCGCCCGGGGGTTCCTCTTACCATTAACCAACTATTACAATCATACATCCATACATTCATACATAGCACAACGAGTGTCTCCACCCTTACAGGCGGTAGGATGCCTCAAACACATATCGCACATTACTAAAAAATTAACTAAAATAATAACTTGAACGAAAAGCATAAAATAAAAGACCTACGATAGCGATTTTACCCCCTTTACACTCACCTTGAAAAGATGATTCCTCAATTCATTCCTCGAAGAAAACCCTCCTTAGCCGGATTATCTCGGGGAAACATATTAATAAGAATCCATTTCTTAGACGACCTTTTTTGATTTAAAACCCCTTTGAATCACTAGAACATCCTCTCCTCAAACTCCAGTCCTTGAACCTCATTTCAAGGGTCCTTTAACCCCCACTAAAATTTTCTAGAATTAATCCCTTCAAAAACGAACATTTTTCTTAATCATTTTAGTCTTGGACGAATTTCCCACCTAACTATAACCTTTTTAAAAATTCGGATAATAATTTTCCCATGTCAATCATGAGCACCTATACCCTGGAAAATTATCAAACCCTAAAAAATCCATCGGAAAGGTTTTTATTTAATTAAAACAAATATTCGAACAATTTCTAAAAATAGAAATATATCTTCAAAAATTCCCAAATTAAATTAGAACCATCTCCTAGACGTCGCTCAATTTATAAAATTATTAAATTCAGAAAAAAAACATTCATAGTGGCTCGAAACAATTTAAAACATCTAAAAATACGTTTCTGGAAATTCCCAGCAGCTTTAGTGACCAATCAAAATCTGTCACTAAAAGCCTGTAAAGCCTGTTGCTAAAACCCCAAAATTCTACCCTCACGAAAAATCATCAAATCAATCGACCTAACTCAAAGGGATCGAGTTCTCTTACCTCTAGAATGTGCCTAGGCCTAGGTTGGATGACCCGGGACGTTGATGTACCCGTTGATCAAACCCTCAAACGTCACCGCTAATAAAATACGAGCTTCGGATTAGACTATCTATA